TATAACAGGGAAATTAGGTAGAAATTTTAGGCTTGCACTAATTCTTGTTGATAAGACTAGAGAGGGAGTTGAAGGTAAACTTGAATTATGGAGGTCAACCTTAGAGTCTGTTGACCTTCATGTTATACCCAAAGGAACAAAAGAGAGAAGAAAGCAAAGTAAAAATCCTGCATACATACCTCAAACCCATCGGATCTTCAAATCATGTCGAGATCGCGCCGATTCGGCGCCGTTCGCGTCACTTCTCCGCAAATCCGACGTAAATCATGCGACATTTTCTCGTTTCTTGCTCTATTCGCGTTGTTAAAAGGCGAGGGAACTCACACCTCCCTCTCCTCTTCCAACTCCACATCCCAGGAGCTACTCTCGGTTCGACCCTAACCCATGACCAAACCAAGTCGCAGCTTCTTCTACCTCCCTCGACTCCAGTTCGATGCTAGAGCCACTCTAGAATATTTATACTTATTTGTGTATGTGAGAGAAAAAAAGCAAAAAAAGAAAGATAAGAAAATATTCATCTTGATATGTGTGCCAACCTCATCATCGCCATTTGCAAAGGTATAAACTCTTAAATCCTAAAACTCCGAGAACCCGCTTTCGACGCTTGCAATGTGAAAAAACGACCATCTATACACGCTTTTCTTAGCGTGGTGGGAGGAATTTCGTCGCGGTGCTCTCGACGAATCGGATGATCATCTAAAGTCTCTTCTTCAGAGTTCGTAGCGCACCGGAAAACAGTCTATACACGCTTTTCTTAGCGTGGTGGGATAAGAAACCGGTGCGATGCGTACGACGAAGTGGGGATACCCATAAGTACCCGCTTGCGAGGAAACAACTGTCTTTCCTTTGCAACAGGTACCGAAGACCCATGCATGCTTTTCTTAGCGTGGTGGGGGATCAAAAAAAATACACGGCCGCGGTGTCCTCGTTCGAGGACACCTACCATACACGCTTTTCTTAGCGTGGTGGGAAAGACCCAGTTTCCTGTAGTTTGCCTCTAAACGAGGGAGACGTTGGGAGGCTGTCGAAATTTCGGGTGAACGTAATGTTACACTTGGACTTGATTGAACTCAAAGGACAACCGAACTCGAACTCAAACTTGTGAACCTTTGAACTTGATTGAACATTCGTAGAGGACTTATGAACTTGATGCAATTGACCTAAGCTAATTCAAACCTAAATGAACTTAAATTCAAATAAATTTGAAAAATATAAGACTTGAACTTGCATTTGATTTGAAAATCAAATCATAAGAACAAAGAGCTTGAATATGAACTTGCAATTTGAATAGCAGGGGACTCGAACAAATGGAAGAGGTTCATCAGGAGCCTGAAATGTACTTGAGTTCAAACAAGAACAATAACTTGAGTTTGCTACTTGAACTCAGGCAAGGACTTGAGCTCAACAAGACTACAAGGAGCTTGAACTTGACTTAACAATTTGAACATAAGGATGAGCTTGCAATTTGAATAACAAAATATTTGAAAGAACAATGACTCAAGATTGTGACTTGGGACAATTATAACGAACTTGACTTGAAAATGATATCAAAACTTTAATGGAATGTTAAGGAATATCTCATAACTTGAACCCAAGTGAAAAAATGCAAAGAACCTGAATTTTTAAGAAAAAAGAGGGGAGTCAAGGAGCTTGAGATTGAATGAGATGCAAAGAGCTGAACCCATAACAACATACAAGACTCAAGCATGAATTGAACCTTGAACTCGGGTCCGATGGAATACATAGGACTGGGGCTGTGGATGAATGAACAAATTGGCGTCTAAATACACAGCTGCTCAAGCAAGGATTTGTGCCAAGATTTGCAAATCCAAACTTTACTTGAACATCTGGACTTGAATCAAACTTGAACAACAAAGGACTTGTTGCATTCAACATGGCTCATCTACGAGCGACAAAAGAATCCAACATGTAATGGGTTAGCAATAAAGGTGTATTCGAAGAATCCAAAGCAAATGCAGTCTTTGCATAATCAATATCATTTGATTGTAAACGAATGCCCCGCTCCCCTACAAGACATACGACGAATCAAGATACGAGCAAGTACACTACAAGACCTCAATGCGTATGAACAAAGAACATAGTGGACCCTTACAATCTTCTCCATGAAATCAAGTGCAACATGCTTACAAGGACAACAAATGATTACATAAAGCATACGTGTGTCCTACATGCACTATTGATATCTCCAACACAGTCAATGTTACTTGTTGGTAAAAGAAGGCTACTCTATAGATCAATAGTGGAAGACCCATCCCTACAAACAAGTGTAATCATGAAAACCACCTAAGATTGGTGAAAGGTGGATATGATGTAGGGACAACGACTCTTCTATGGATATCTCCAGGAGGTCGTAGTGGAATACAATGGGTCGTATGCAAATGAACACGACCCACTTGTGGATAACAACAATGGGTATATCGTAAGTACACGAACCCTTGTGGACACAAGTGCAGATGTCACCTACGACAACGGTGATTAAGGTCTACGAGTACGTCAGGTACGAGGGCAACTCGACGTACGGCGAAGGACACCTCTTGGCAGAATGGAAGAGATGTTTGAACAAATTAGAACTAAACTTCTTGGTGTTCCAAAGCTTCTTCTTAGTCCTATACTTAAGAAGAAAATAGTTCTAGTGTCCACAAACACCGGAAGTAACAAGTCTACTACATTAAAGATCCTGAGAGGAATTCTTTTCAAAGCAATGGTCATTGATTTCCAAGTCCAGAAGAACCTCCCCGGAGAATGAGAAAGGGGGAGTCAACATCAAGATGAGGAAATGCCTCATAACATCAAGACCATACCGCCATCGGATCCGCAACACTCGTATTAACGGACAGAAGGCGTGTATGAGCTCTTAGATGAAATGTTGTATATTTAGATGGCAATTGCCTGCACGACTACAATTATTTCAAAATACCCCTGCACATGCACAGTAATTTGTATACATATAGGTACACTAAAGAAGAAAATACAATCTCGACCCGCATGGGCCCCGGCGAGCGTGTTATTGGTACACACGTGACGCCTATGAATGCTGCACTGGTCGATAAGTGAATTTAAGGTAGAACTTGATCCTTCTATGCGGATCAATAGGAGTTGATAGGGTTCGAACCTTCAAACAAATACACGGTTGTGGCGACCGGTGTATTTTTTTTCAATACATTCATATTAGGCCTTGAAGGCCTATCACAATATAAATTCACTAATAGATCACACAAAGCCTACAAAACCCTATTCTCTATTAGCAAGTTGATAGAGTCGACAAGGTTCAAGCTATAAAAAGAAAATATCCCCCTCATAGGCCATGTTGAACAATAAATCTCAACCGGAGGGGTCCATTCCAAATACTCAAAATTCCATCCAAATACCCATAAAAATCCAAAACTCCAGAAATTTCCAAAATCCAAAATATTTAAAATCGAAACAACACTATCAAACACTTAAAGCAAAACTCATCCACCCTCTACAACAGTTTGTCGAGGTGGACAAATTGAAATAAACTTCAGCTTACAAAGAGCTAATGCCTAGTCAAAAATACGACTATGATCCATTCTCAAACAATATCCTGCTAGTAAGGACGTGGTACGTGTGGGATCTTGATCGGGCCTATCATCCATTCCCCCACCATCTGCTTTAAGTGCAAGATGGTGTAATTTTTATTTTAAATATCAATTTTACAAATCTCCAAACTCTTCAAATATCAATCCACATTGCTACTACTATATGCCAGATAACACGTATTTATACGTATCTGATTGATGACTAGCCTTAATCGAAAGTTCTCTCTTATGATCGGGAAGGGTAATTAACTATAGGGGCTTGCGCCTATAGGAAATCAAAACTCAGATTATACAGTCCTCACAAAATGAGGGTGAAATCTCTGGGTAGTGTCTTATCTACAAACCCATCTCCCTTCCAAAATTTACCCCGGAACTTAGTTCCATTAAAACTCCCTCGCCGAAAGAAAAAGCACAACAATAGTGGGCGGAGGCCGGGGCTGAATTTTCGGAGCCCACAGAGTCTAAAGGTTTTCGTTTGAGTAAATTTAAAATCTAATATATGGGGTGTAATTTTAGTTGTAATAGATCTAGTGGGGGGATTGTAATGTTGGGCGATCAAGTCATTAGTAATAGTATACGTTTTAGATATTTTGGGTCTATTATTCAGAGTGATGGTGAAATAGATGAGGATATGATTAGTAGAATTCTAGTTGGATGGTTAAAGTGGACGAATGCATCGGGCTTGTTGTGTGATAGAAAAGCCCCCCTCAAACTTGAGGGAAATTCTATAAGATGGTGGTTAGACCTGCAATGTTTTATGCTGCAGAATGTTGACCATTAAAACAGAAGCATAATATTAAGTTAAGTGTTGTAGAGACGAGGAAGCTTAGGTGGATGAGTGGTTTTACTCTTAGAGATAGGATACAAAATGAGCATGTACGTGAAAATGTTTGAGTAGCTCCAGTAGAAGATAAGATTAGAGAATCACCTTAGATGGTTTGGTCGCCTAAAACAACGGCTTTCCGATGACTTGGTTAAGAGAGTAGATGTATTAGATTTGACTTATATTAAGAAAGGTAGAGGTAGGCCTAAAAAGACTTGATTAGAAAATATTAGAAATGAGATTTCGTTATTAGATTTAAATGAGAATTTGACTCTTAAATGGACACAATGGAGAAAAAGGATTCATGCAGTCGACCCCACGTAGTGGGACAAAGGCTTGATATTGTTGTTGTTGTTAGTTAGTTAGTTAGGCCTACAGATCGAGAAAACCATTGATGTAGATTGTTCATGAATTTCTTCACTTGAGATAAGCTTATTATAACAAATCAGCAATAACTAGCTTGGTTACCAATGCTAGGAATTAGTCTGTAATCCGTTTCGTTTTAATTAAGACCATTGCATTATATGGATGAACTGTGGTATATTGTTATATTAGAGAGAAATCATGCTTATTTTTGTTTATCCTTTTTTATTAAGAGAGGCTGAGGAAAATTCAGTTGGAAGCAAAGCTTACCTTGCATTTGTTGCCGAAGGACTATGTGGAATGCAAGATTGGCAAGAGGTCATGAGTTATCAAAGAAAAAATGGTTCACTCTTTAACTCTCCATCAACAACTGCTGCTGCACTTTGCCATATTCGAGATGATAAATCCCTTAATTACTTGAGTTCTATTTTGCAGAAGTTTGGCTGCTCAGGTACTGGTCGTGCTCAGTTTCCTTTCAAATTTAAATTAATGCATGTGTACTGTTGGCGTTTTATATAAACTTACGCATGGTATTTTACAGTTCCAACAACCTACCCTCTGGAAATACATACTCATCTTTCCATGGTTGATAAACTTGAGAGACTTGGAGTTTCTCTGCATTTTACTCATGATATAAGGAGAATTCTGGACAGAGTTTATAGGTGAAGATCAGATAGCAAACTCTAGTTGTCTGTTAGTCTTTGACATCTTTTATGCATTTTCCAAAACCTGACTTGACTCAAGATACAGATGCTGGGTGGAGAGTGATGAGGAAATTTATTCAAACGTAGCTACCTGTGCCATGGCATTTCGAATTTTACGTATGCATGGATATGATGTGTCTTCCGGTAATTTATTCTTTATGAGCTATTCCTTGTGTACTTCCTTGCAGGGGAATTATTATGCATTTTTTATGGCTTCAATGTTTCTGAGCGCCATCATTGTTTACAGATGCTTTATCTCCATTTGCTGATGCTAGGCACTTCAAGAATACAGTCCAGGGACATATCAGAGATTTAAATGCTGTTATTGAGCTATACAAGGCTTCACAGGCTCAGATCTCACCAGAGGAACCAGTTCTGAAGAAATTGAACTCCTGGGTTACTCACTTTCTCGAGGAGGAGCTGGATAATAATGCCATCAACTCGCTAGATTTTTCACAAGAGGTAGCTGATTTGTACTTTCCCACTTTTTTTTTTTCTAGAAGTTATTAAGATTATCAGAGGGGTATTGTGATGTATTGTGTATAGGATTTAGAATGGGAAGACCAAAAAAAGTTATGCGTTTACATAGAACCCAATTCTTGCTGTTTTTAATTTCAGAAGTGAGTTTTAACCCTGGTAAGGCATGGTAGGAAAGTGTTCCTACATCAACTGCTGTTGAGAGAGGATTAAAAAGATATATGAGGCCATTAGGGGTGTCAATATTGGACCTGACCCGAAAATCCGATCCGAACCCGACTCAAAAATTTCGGATTTGAACGGGTCGGGTTCGGGTTCAATAATTTGAACCGTTTCAAAAATCGGGTTGGGTTCGGGTTGACCCTTTGACTCGAAATTGACCCGAAACCCATTTTGACCCGACAATCCGAGATTGACCCATTTTGACCCGAAAAGCGGAGATTGACCTGTTTTGGACCCGAAAACTAGCAATTCTTTGTTAGCACCTCATCATTCGGGTCGGGTCGGGTTGACCCGGACCTGTAGCGGGTCGGGTTCAGGTCCAGAAAATCGACCTGTTTGCAAAAACGGGTCGAGTTCGGGTTGACCCAAATAGTGTCGGGCCAGTTTCGGGTTCGACCTGAACCCGACCCGTGACACGAAATTGACACCCCTAGAGGCCATGTAAAATTTGAAGGGTTGACAAGTTGTGTGTGTGCGTGTGTTAGGGGTTATCCAACTGTGGAACTCCAAAATGATCTACCAGGTCTCAATCAGCTGATCAAAACTTCCAGCAACCTTCTCATGATTATATAATTTTAATCCCTTATCTTGTGCACATGCTTGCTGAATGACTGGCATTTAAGATCAGTTTCCGCAATATAAAAATTGTTTAATAAAAATATCAATTGAAGATGGTTAAGAAAACTTTCAAATGTCAAACTGATTGCATTTTGACTTTTGAGATATCTTAAAGGTCTTAAAAACAAGCGAGTACTAATGGGATAAAAGATGGCAGATGTGAACATTTAAATTATTAAATGAAAATGCAAGATGGAGTTTGTTCAGATCATTTTTTTATGAGTGGAATTGCCTAGCATTTAAGAAGTTCTGTAAATCAGTAATTTTGTGCTAGTTTTTCTTTATGCTAACTATTCTGAACCCTTGTTTCTTTGTTATTTTGATGCTTACTGGTTTCTTGTAAACTTTATTTTGTAGATTACTGTTTCCTTGTCATCCTGCTTTTTCAGGTTGATTATATTCTCAGGTTTCCCTTTTATGCAAACGTGGAAAGGCTGGAACACAAAAGAAATATTGAACACTGCAATTTAGATAATATGCAGATGCTCAAGACATCATTTGTGTAAGATTTTATTTTGTTTATGTTCTGAGTACGATGAAAGGGGAAAACCTTACATTGCATGCTCATTTGCTCTTCAAAAAAATCTTTATGTATGTGGAAACTCTTCTCAGGTGCAGTATGAATAGTAATGACATTCTGGAGCTTGCTGTGGCTGCATTCAGTAGTTCCCAGTTGATATATAGGAAAGAGCTTCAGTATCTTGAGAGGTGAGTGCATTTTGTTAAATGTTTTAGATCTAATCTTAAATTATTTGTACTTTGTGCATGAAATAATCTTGTTCAAATAGTTGGGTTAAGGAGAGCAAGCTGGATCAGCTTGGATTTTCTCGGCAGAAAGAGACATATTGTTATCTCTCTGCCGCTGCTACACTTTTTTCCTCAGAACTGTCAAGTGCTCGCCTATGTTTGGCCAAAGGCGGTGTGCTAACCACCTTTACTGATGATTTTTTTGATGGTGGAGGTTCCTCTGAAGAACTAGCAAACCTTATCAAGCTGGTTGAGAAGTATATTCATCCTTTTTTTTTTTAGTGTTTATCATAACGAATATTTCCTTGCAAATGATGGTTCAATCCTTGGCAGGTGGCATGGAATTCATGAAAATGAATTCTGCTCTGAAAATGTAAAGACTATTTTTTTCGCTATCCAAAATACTGGCGTTGAGCTTGCAGCAAAGGCTTCTCTCTTCCAAAAGCGTGATATCACCAACCATATCATTAAAATTGTGAGATCTCAAACTATGGATGTGCTTTGAGTGCTATACTCACTGAATCGATTTAGCGAATATGTATAGCTTGTGTCAAAACATCATTGAATGGAATCCAAATAAATTCACTCATATCACCTCATTCACAATCCTTATCTGGTCCTATACTTTTCGTTGGCTAATTATTTTGGCTGAAGGTTTTGACTCGTGGTGTTGCAACTGGCAGTGGCTAGCTATGATGAACTCCATGATGAAAGAGGCTGACTCGCTAAAGAATAATACAGTGCCAACTATAGATGAATACATGACTCATGCAATTCCATCGTTTGCTTTAGGTCCCGTTATTCTACCTTCTCTCTATTTTGTTGGTCCCAAGCTTTCAGAGGACATCATCGCGTCTTCAGAATACTACAATTTATTTGAACTTGTCAGCAAATTGGGTCGTCTTCTCAATGACATTCAAGGTTTTGAGGTAAGACGCTTTTTCTGAACGCTAATTTATTCTCAATAAAAAGACATGCTTTCTTTAAACAAAATTGTCTGGCTGAAGTGGTCGGTCAAATGATGTTACACAATCTGCGTAAAAGCTTCTTACTGGATTACATTGGTCCAAGTCATTCTGCTGACTTTACTATTTCCAGCAAGAAAACTTATTTAACATAGCTCAATTAATAAAAAGAAAAGCTGCATGGGCAAAACTAGGCTCTTAAATCTGATAAATAGTAGTCATTTGCGATTTGAGCATTGAAACCAAGATGTTCTTATTTCAACAAAATTCAAGAAATTAGACTGGGCTTAAACGTAAGAGCTGTTGGATAAGATAGCAAGAATGATGAGCCTCATAAGAGACTACTAGACCAAATGGCTAAGATATTATAAACATGAATGTGTTCTTAAATTGAGAGTTTGGCCGCAGGTTGGGAAAACTGCACTTAAGAGGTCCAGGATGGTTTTTGACAAAATTTGTTGGCCCATAATTGGACCATAAATTTTAAAAACTCCTGCTTTACTCAGTTCGGGCCCTTATTTGGCCAAAAAAATCTCTTGTGATATTCTGTTTCTAATTGGTAGTGCATGGGATACCAGAGGTTAGTGACCACAAGCCACCACCATATTCCGCACATTCAAGCTTTTTTTGGGGATGGCTTTGTTGCAAATGAGATGAATGTGAAGTGAATTTTGCAATGTGATAGTGTTTACCTATTTTTAGTAGATCCATGAAAAAAATGCATTATGAAATAAAATAACTTCAACTTCTATTTTGACCAAAAAAAGCTTTATAAAATTATTTTGTATTGAAGATTGACATTTAAAAATGTTGCAAAGTAAATGTAAAAATAGAAGTAAAAATAACATTTTAAATTTATTAAAGGTATTAATTGAACTGATAGAATTAAAATTAAAATCTTATGATAGGTCATAAGTAAGCGCTATCCTTTAGCATTGTTTTTATCCGTTAGAGAATGTGTCTCGGTGGAAAGATAATTTTCATCTTCCCTTCATGATAAAATGACTTTTTCCACTCTAAGTCATAACAGTGATAGTCATTGTTGGGAAAAAGCACATGAGCAAGAGTAATTTCGAACAATAATGAGAAAATCTATTTGTAAACGACAACAAGGTTTTAAAATTGGGCCGTACCCGAATCGGGACCCGGTCGGCCAGCCAATTCGATTCTCTTGCAATACTGATTTCGCACGAAACCAGGAATAATCGGCTCGAACTAATGGTTCGATTGTTGAACCAGAAAATTGGTGTTAGTTTTCAAAATTTGGGCGGTTCAAAAAGCGATGGATTTTTAACCGTTGATTTTAAATTCAATGGTAGATGTATTAGATTTGACTTATCTTAAGAAAGGTATGTAGACCTAAAAGGACTTCGTTAGAAAATATTAGAAATGACATTTCTTTATTAGATTTAAATGAGAATTTGACTCTTAACAAGACATAATGGAGAAAAAGAATTCATGTTGCTGACCCTACATAGTGGGATAAAGGCTTATTGTTGTTGGTGGTGGTTTTTCAAAACTCCAAATTGAACTTAAAATGATTTCTATTTGGCTCTTTTAGCATCCCTCCCAGTCCCGTGAGCCGTCCTAATCCTCCTTCATCTTCTTGTTCCTAAACTTGAAGCTCAAACGCAAGCTTATCATCTCCGGCGAAGGCTTCTCATCATAGTTGGCACTTGTTGTCTTCGGCGTTGCACCCCTCTTTCTCCTCTACAATGTTGATCTCCTCTCGTGGACGCCACTAGCATCAAATTGCCAAGGGCGGCCTAAGATTATATGACAGACATCCATGTTTACCATTTCACAGTTCACCTCGCATACATAATGCTTCCCAATTGAGAATGTAACACGACACATCTCTGAAACCACAATTTCGGTACCTCTCCGTATCCAGCTAATTTTATAAGGATGAGGGTTCTTCGTCGTCTTAAGTTGTAATACTTGAACAGCGGACCGTGAGATCACATTCTCGGTGCAGCCACTGTCAATGACTAGATCACACACCTTTTCGTTGATAGTACAACGGGTTCTGAATAATGCATTTCGTTGCGAGGGAACAGGTTGGCGAGGGGAAAGCAGTATCTTCTCAAGAATGCAAACTAGAGGATCCCCTTCGTCGCCATGTAAGTTTTCGATTTCGGCCTCGAGGTCCTGTTCTGTAGAAACTTGCTCTTCATCCAAATTATCACCTTCCAATATCTGAATTTGGGGTATGCTGGGACATTCATTTGACTTGTGGCCGGGCTGCAGGCATCTGAAGCACTTGATGGGGACGGGCTTCACATATGGATTGTCCCTGTTGTTCACTCAGTTGGCTCCTTTGCCCTTACCATCAGCCGGTGTAATGTTGTTAGTTGGATTGGCAGCTGGTTGTAATTTTTGGACATGAGCAGTAGACTGCTCACTACCTTGGCGACGAACCTGAAAACTACGGGAATGTCTCTGCAATTGAGTTTCAGCCTTCAACGCGAAATTGACGGCCTGGGATAATGTCCACACTAAATTTAACTCCAACTTGTCTTGTATAGCTTCCTTATGCCCTCCAATGTATCTAGCAATTAACTGATTTTCAGATTCATTAAGGTTGTTGCGGGCACTCAACCGGTAGAACTCTTCAGCATAGTCCCCAACAGTTCGCTGCCCCTGAGTACAATGCTGATATTGTAGATACAACATATGTTCAAAATCTGTAGGCAAGAAGTGTCCCCGCAGGAGTTGTTTCATTCGAAACCAACTTCGAACCCGCCCTTTACCTTCTCGTCGCTGGTTCTGGAGTAATTGCATCCACCACGCACCAGCACCTCCTTTTAAGCGGCACGCCACATATTTAACCTGTTTTTCAAGTTCAATCTCCAAGTATTCAAAAAAGTTTCAACGGCTCGCTTCTAATCCAAATAATCCTCCACATGCATCCTGCCCTCAAAATAGGGAATATCAAGCTTCACACGGAACTCTGCCTGCTCTCGGTGTCATCCTCCTTGCTTCCTTGGAGCATCATAATAATTGATTGGAGCTTCATCCGCTGGGTCAGGAATTTCCCTGCGGGGTCTATCATTTCTCTCATCTTCAGAATCAGTAAATTCAGGAAGTACATTAGGAGGTCTTCTCGGAATCTGGTTCTCATTAACAAACGGGCGACCCGCTGGTACTGTCGCCGCGGGTTGAGGGCCAACATTCGCGTTGATTCCCGCAGCAATTTTGAGAGCCGCCATGTCACTTCGCATCTCTGACCAAAGCCTGAAGAATTCAGTGGTTAATTCATCTAACCGTCGCGTGAAGCTAGTCTGAACTGCCCACAGCACGTCTAAGCTCCGAAAGTCGTCAGGAGACCTTTGCGAACTTCCTTCTGCCATTTCTAGGTTACCGACTCTGATACCAAATGGTGTAACCTGAAAAGCTCGGACATGAAGAAGATAATAGGGATATTGAAAACCCACTATTCTATTACGGGGAGAAAATAAACATAAGTCTCTGTGTCTTTCTTGCTTACTTTCACTATATGTAAACTATGAAGCTAAAAACCTTGTAACTAACTTTGGTAAAAGAAGTAAAAAGAGAGAACATTTTGCAGTAGCCTTAAAGCAGCAAGGAAATGAAAAACGGTTAGTAGAGCTAGTGGGAGAATGATTCATGCGGTATGATGCCTCTCGGTGACGCTGTTGTGGTCCACATCAATTAGTGGGGTGGTCTGCGGCTAGGCTAGGGTGCATGGCCGGCGGGTAGGGAAAGGGGACGGGGAGAAGATGATCGGTGGAGAAAGAGAGAGGGAAGTAGATAGGGAAAGAAGATAAATCGTGAGCCAGGACACATCCTGCGATTGACGGGTGATGCGATGCCCTCACCTAGGGACTTCAACCACGAGCCTGGGCACATCCTGTGGCTGGTGGGTATTTCATTGCCCTCACATAGGGACTTCCACTCTCCTAAGAACTCTCATAGCTCTCAAGAACAAAGTGTAGAAAATAATTTTTTTTATTAATCCATCATTCTCTAATACAAGAGCAAGGGCCTATATATAGGTCTTAAAAGAAATTAAAAGACAACTTTGCCCCTTGGGCTTACATAAGACAAGACCCTTAAGTAAGGGTAAAAACAGAAAATGCATAATTAAATAAAAAATACAATTAATAAACTAAGATAAAAATGAAGAGATATTGGCCGTCGATCTTCATTTCTTCCTTTGATTAATGTCCACCGTCGGATGTCCGCATCAAATTGACCCTCTATTCGAGAGGATGATCGATCTCTCCTAAATCTCTAGACGTCGCTAGAGCCCAAAGACAACCTAGATCTAAGTGATTTCAAATTTCAGCCAAATTCAAGATGTCCTAACCTTAAGAAAACAAACTATTTAATGCATACAAATCAAAAAGAATCCCTAAACAGTCCCTACATTCAATTTCCCTCCTTAACTCCCATCAAAATTCTTCTTATTCAGCTCCCTTGAGCTTGGTCTAAACTTGTGGCTCTTCCTAGAGACGGAAGAGTTCCGCCCAATTGGCGCAAGCTGGTCCCGTCGAACCGGATGGACCGGTCTAACACAAAGGTATGAAATTAGTTGTTTGAAATAATGTGGTGACAACAAAATTACACATATTAGAGGTTAAATGCAACAAACATACAAATACAGTCAAAAATTTGTTTGTTCGGTGAGATCCCCCAACGCTAGGATTACATGGCCATGAGGATCACAGATGACTATTTCTGGAACAAACCTTAAGAAATCTCAAGACTGTAAATCAAGTTGTATGATCGCCAACACCACGGTAATATATTTACTCAATGATCAGGATAGGATTGCCACTGCCACACTAGTGAAGGAATTGTACTATGTTCTACTGCCGGATGAAAGAGCTGGTGATGGGGTGAGAATGAACAGATGACTGCAAACTTCTATGTATACAGACACAAACACAGAACTCTTTATTTTGGTCACAAGGCCCACTTTTTTCTGTTAGTTTTGCAGCCTGCATAACTATATATATCTATCTATCTATCGTTGCATGTAAGCCTTCAAACCAGTATATGTCAAACCTGAAACCGCTTATAAAGCACTTATAACCAAATTCAGTAAGGCTTCGTTTGGGACAATTTTCTTTTTGCTTTCTAAAACAACTTTATAGTATAAAAATTTCTTGAATTTGAAATTTTTGTGCTAGAAAACTGTTTTAAAAAGCAGTGCGAAAAATGCCCCAAACGAAACCTAAGTTTTATCGATCAATCAAAAGTATGCACTCAAATTCAATCTTGCAAGCATTATCGATGTTTGATCAGTTCCTCGCTCTCTAAATATTAAGATCCGTGATGCAATTGCAGAGAGACAAAGCAGAAGGGAAACTGAACTACTTGTCGCTGCTTGTTCTCCATGGAAATGGCTCTTTTTCTGAAGAAGATGCCAGAAGAGATGCATGGAGTGTGATAGAATCCACAAGGGCTGAATTGCTTGGGCTGGTTCTCCAGAGCAAGGGAAGCATTGTTCCCAGAGCATGCAAGGAAGTGTTCTGGAAGGTGAGCAAAGTACTGCATCTTTTTTACAGAAACAATGATGGATTCACATCGCCTAAGGAAATGGTTGGTGCTGTCAATGCTGTTGTTCATGAGCCTTTGAAGGTCAGTCACCTTTCCCTGTCTAAAGCTTAGGAAGAATCATATTATTTGGTATATTCATCAAAATAAGTGTGGCATTAGTTATTACTGTGATACTTATTTGACAAGTTCTATTTTGTATTTTGAAAATTTTATAGTTATGATAATAAATATTTATTTTACTTGTTTGCAGCAAACAGCAATATTATTTATAAAATAAAATCGGTGATGAAAAAAAGTTCTTTAGAAATAATGCGGATCAAATGAGATTTAGGCTTCGTTTGGGACGGCTTTTTTATTGCTTTCTAAAACGGAGTTTTAGTACAAATTTTTTTATTTTTGTACTAAAACTCTGTTTTAGATAGCAATAAAAAAGCTGTCCCAAACGAAGCCTTAGGCTTTGTTTGAGACGGCTTTTTTACTAAAACTTCATATTAATAAGCAGTATAAAAGCCATCCCAAATGAAGTCTTATATTAAATTTATAAACATAATAAATCATATTTTAGGCTTTGTTTGGATCAGTTTTATTATTGCTTCTTAAAGTAGCTTTATAGTAAAAAATTTAAATTTTTATACTAAAAAGTTATTTTAAAAAATAATAAGAAAGTCATCTCAAATAAAGTCTTACCAAGGTGTGTTTCTTGCATACTTTTTCTTTTCCATTACTATGCTCGAGGAAGTAAAATGTGCATGCATATTCTTGTTTCTTTTTAAGCTAACTTTTAAAAAGACTTTTCAACTCCTGTTTTCTACAAAATCAAATGGGCTAGGCAGCCCATTTTGAGTTGAAATGGGCCACTTTTAGCCCAAAATGTGAATCGGAAGACGATTGTATTGGAGGGGCTGATGGGCATATGATGATCAAATAATTTATAATGAACATGTTTCTTGTTTCACTTGGATTCCGCTAGCCGGATATGGATGGAATTAAGCGTGAGCAAATTAATCGGGCCTCTAATCAGGCATGCAATAAGATGAATTTAGTAAGATTGTGTTATTTACGAAAAATTATTACGTCCTCCCACCTGACGTAGAGATACGTCCTCCCACCACTAAAAAACTCAGTTTTTGCTCAGTATTGCTAGCTATTATTTGGTAATAACGAGGAATATCATCATGTGAAGATCAATACCGAGTTTTACCGAGCTATACTGAGCAATACCGAGTTTTTTCTAGGAAAAATTAGTTATTTTTTTGTATTGCTCGGTATAACTCGGTATTGGTCTTCACATGATGATATTCCTCGTTATTGTTTGGTATTGCTCGATATTTCTCAATTTTTAGCGCGATTTTAGCGATGGGAGGACGTAATAATTTTTCGTTATTTACTGATTACGAAAACTTATATATATATATATATATATATATCATTAAATAATGATGTATTGAGACTATTGAGAGTGTACCCATAAATAAATCTTTTAATTAATATTCTCATAATAATAGACCCATAAAGGAAATAAAATATTTCTTATATAATCACTAAACCTTCTAATAAATATTATCGAATAAAACAAAGCTGTTCTAAATCCTTTTCAAAAATACATTGACATATTTCCCAAAAAAATACATTGACATATTACAAAATGAGCAGACTTCTTTGAAAATAATTTGCATAATAATAATAATAATAATAAATTCTTAATTATTTTAAAACGAAATGGCATGATCATCATACGCGGAAAATCTCTGCAAGGAATTTGAGCCAGTAGTAAGGATGCGTGGCACGGGCCCAGCGATTTCAGTAGAGCCAAGAGGTGAAGAGTAGACGATGTGACTGGTCATCGGCTGGGTTCTTCTAAGTACCTCAATTCTAGAAATTATTTGAGAAGATAATGCATTAGGCTTTTTTTGGCCTATGCTATGTCGGGAAAAATATAACAAAACCAAGAGGCTAGAAAAAAACATAGCTAAGCAAATTCTTAAGCCACTTGATTGTTTATTTACCTAGGACTAGGAGTTTTACTAACAAATAATGAGAAGAAGATTTATTTTTGGTTGAGATTAATTAATTAATTGATGAATGAGCAAAAATTAATTAGATGGAAAATTTTTTGATATTGTACCTTCAAATAAAAAAGTTTTAAGAAGATTATACATACAAACATGGGCGGATCTACATACGATCCAGGATGCATGGGCATTTTGATACTTGTAGAAATATATTTTTTGCGCTAATGCTCCGCGCATATGTCGGTGCGCCATTACTTAATGTTTTGTCTTCTCCCGCGTGCACTGTTTTGCTGGTTTCGAATCATAGTCTTTCTTCTCACAACTTTCACTCTTTCTTCTCCCATGTCTGTAACGACATTGTTCCTGCACAAATTTGAATCCCCTGCTTGCGCGTTGTTCCCTGCACGAGTCGTGCAACCCGACCGAAATGGTCGTCGCCTGATCCTCGCAGTCATCACATGAGTCCACTTGTGTCACAATATCACCGTTCTCGAATAGAAGGTAACGAAAAATTGAGGAATTTCTTATTCTTTTTTATTTTTCATTTGAGTGTGGATCATTTATATTTTATTTGATGTAAAAACAACTACAATTAATAACTCCACAAGGTCATATTATAGTCTTCTCCTCAACAAATTTACAGAAAATCAAATTCACTAGAGAATAGAAGAGAAAAAAAAAATGAAGTTATCAGTTTTCCAAAAAAATTAGGTTTCAAACAACTGTTTAAGTTCAATTTGAGTATTCTAACTTTCAGAGAGTGTAATGGACTGTAAATTTAAGGAACAGTAGAGATGATTACTCAGCAAAAATTCAGATTTAGAAAATTGTTTGGTCTTATAATGTGAATGACATGATCATAACTTATATGTGAATTATTGGCATCCTTTATTAGGTTTTGTTGAATCTCAATGGCACTTTGAATACAAACAATGTAAACAATAACAAACTATTGGCCTGGTTAGTCCTAAAAAAAGAGTGGGAAGATAGTACTGTAGAAAAGAATTGTAGTCTGCATTAGAAAGGAGAACTGCATTGACAACATCCGTTGGAGTTCATATTTTTATACTTTAATTAGTTTAATGAAAATATATGTTTATATACTCGAATTGCTTGAAATTATCAAGAAAAACATGATATCTGAACAATAGTCAATTAAAGCTAATGTTTTAATACATGTTATGAAATTATTTGACTTAGTCTTGACATTGTAATTAATGATTGATATTTTAGGGATTACAAATGAATTGTCACAAGTCTTTACTGAAATAAGTGTTCAAACAATGATTGCAGATGATGAAGGAAAATGAATGGGAGCTTTTATTAAAATAAGTGTCACATTTTTGTGATATTTTAAAATTAAAGTTTAACATATGAACTCTATATTAAAGGCTTGCTCGTTAAAGGCCAATGCGAAAAGGTGAATAAATAAAAAACTTTTATTATTATCGGATTGATTTATTCTACATTGTTGTTAATATGCAACTTCAGAAATTGAATAATTGCTTCTCATAAATTAGTACTCTGTTACTTATTTATATGACTTGTTTAAGCCCAAGTAATATATTATCTGGTTATGATAAATAAAAGTTAATTCTTCTTACAAAGTTATATCTAACAGATTTTTTTAGGGTTGATCTTATGTCTCTTAAACTTCAAGTATCTTTTATGTTATTGATATCATACAAGTGATGAGTTTACATCTTTGACTACCATTGTTGCTTTTGTAAAACAAATTGTAAAGACCAAAAAAAATCTTTTGTATCCCTTGGCTTATAAACTTATTATTTTTGCTCTGAGTTTAACAGTTGCAACTGCTACAGTAGAGAGAGCATTTTTTACAATGAAAATTATCAAACATCGATTGCATTGCAAAATGGGTGATATCTTGCTCAATGACTGTTTAATGTCATATATCGAGAATGAAATATTTGACTCTCTTCCCAATAAAGTCATTATGCAACACTATAAAAAAATGTAATTAGAATGTAAAGCTTATAATTATTATTCTTAATTCATAAATTATAATGAAATACAATATTTTGCTTAAAAGTTTATATATATATATATATATATATATATTGCATTTAGATTTTTATATAATGAGTTTGTCCATCCTAAAAAATAAGGCTGAATCTGCCCCCGCATAAAAATAAAAATTTAAGAAAAAAAAAGAAATTAAATTCGCCATTCTCGTGTCAAAAGCGAATTCGCGGATAAACCCGAATCTGATCCATTTATTAACCAGGTCTAGGTGAACCCGAATTTTCTCATGCCGGGTAAATGAACCAAGGGGTTCATTTTATAACCCTCGAATGCCCAAAATACTCATTATATTTAAATATATCAAGAGGGAACGAGATGAGAGATGACAATGGTTGCTAAAATGTAAGAGAGGGCTTGATATTCCCCAAATTATCTAAATCAAAAGTGATAATTTAAGGATTATCAAAATTTCTAAGACAATATAGACAAGTGATTTTGTTTGAGTGGGCAAAGCCGCATGTACTTTGTGAAGTACTTAATGACCATAACATAGTAGTCGATCAGAACATAAATGATCCAATCTACACTGTTTCGTTGCCGGCATCCAAAAACTATTTTCCATCATATTTTGAATAATGACCATAACGTTCTTCTCCTTTCAATCATTTGAGATATTGTGAACGTTCAACAATTTTGGCGTTCTCAATCTTGTTTGGATCCTCAAAAAACAGTTTTTGCAAGGCGCTGTCTTTAGCAAACTGGAATTTGTAATCTGTGGACAGCATAGAAGCGCGGTAGTGTAACGCACTGTGCCCTCTCTTTTACGTTATTCGTTTGGCTGACTTTTCTTAAAGCGATTTTTTAGTATAGCTCTGATATTTTCTGCTGTCTCACCTTACTTAGAAACAGATCCGAAACTTACTGAAAGAGTGCGCTGGTTTCAATTTACACTGAAATGAAGCCATGAAACGAGCTGAAATGAAGAGACATGGAACCATCAATGCATGTTATTTCTTCCGAAAATGGCGCTTCTGAAAACGTGCTTTCCGCTAATGAGGACTGTAAATTACGCTTGACCGTATGAAGCATGATCATTAAGAAAATTAATTATATTTTATTATGATTGTTGGGTCCTCGAATATTTACGGCGTTAGATAAATATAAAGTTTAATGTCTTAGCTCTGTACGAAAATCAAGCACGCAATCAGATAAAAAGAGAGGGTTCGTCATTTATAAAAAACATCAAGATTTTTACGTAGAAAACCCCTGAAAAAGAGGGAAAACCACAGGGTCTAACCTAGTTTGAATGAATCCACTAGCATTTTCAGTTGATTACAAATGAGGCCCTTCATTGAAAGGAAGGCCACGGCTTTATGTAACAAATATACATCATACATAGTGTGTTACATGGTGGAAATATGAAGAATCATTGTTGACGTGTTCGCTTGGTCAAAATGGCCATTGTTTGTGGGCGTTGAAGGTCGGAAGGACTATAGTCGATAGACAACATAAGTCGGAAGGATCTTAGTCAGCGGGCGACGGAGGTCATAAAGATCGTTGTCTGGCGACGGAGGTCGGAAAGGCTGCGTCGTGTAGAAGTCCATCATCGGATAAAAGTCCGACGAATGTTTGGCGACGGGCAGAAGTCTGAAATTTTGTAGAAGTTCGGCTTCGAGTAGAAGTCCAACAGAAGTCTGGTGTCCGACGGAAGTCCAGCATCGGGCAGGAATTCGACAACTGGCGGAAGTCAAGCATTGGATAGGAATACGGCTACGGGTGGAAGTCCAGTGTTGGGTAGGAATCCGAGGACTTGCAGAAGTTCAACGTTATATAGAAGTTTGTCGATGGATAGAAGTTCGGTGTCGGATAGAAGTGATCGGGCAAAAGTCCATTGACGGACAGAAGTCCGGTGTCGAGTAGAAGTCCGACGTCAGGTAAAAATCTGGTGATGAGCGGAAGTCCAGCGTCGGGTAGAAATCTGGTGACAAGCGGAGGTTCGACGTCAGGTAGAAATCCAGCGACGGAAGGAAGATCGGCACCGGTCAATGGACGGGAGGTGGTCGAGGAGGAGTCTCTTCATTCTCTTCATTTTCTTCCTTCTCTTTTTGCTTCATTTCTTAATTCCAACATTAGTTGGTGATCGGGCAGAACTCCAGCGTCGGTCAGTTGCCGGGTCGATGGTTTGAATGGACGGCCGATGTTGAATCCCTTGATTGTAGACCATTTATTAGGCATTTGAAGGTCTTAATGATATCAGAATTCGGCGATCTTAGACTCGTTGGATTTGTCTCGTCAAGTCGCTCAATTCAATTATAAATATGTCACGTTTGGAAACCATTTGGTAATCCAAATTATGGTTTAAATCTTCTAAATATGCTTTGGGTCTTTTGTTTGGACCCATTTGAGCCCGAATTGGGTCGAATATGGTGTCATTGGGTTCGTATTTTCGAGACTTTCAGATCAACTATAAGTTTGCTGAAATCGGAGTTCATATGATTTCCGATTTAATTTTTGAAGTTTCCAACTTGATTTTTCTTTGAGATTCGTGCCCGATCAAGATAATTTGTTGATGATATATCAATGATAATTAAGTAATTAACAGTTTGTTTTCAGTTCATTTAAATATTGAATTTATTATTAGATACTTATAGATTTATATTAGAAGTTCGTTAAAATCTCCTTTATTTTTAAAGTATTTTGAGTTTTTTTTTTTAGAGATTTTTTTCTCTCTCTAATTGTATCTCTTCACTTCTCTCAATTCTACTCTTAGACCAAACAATTAGAGACGCACTTCTACTACATCTAAGGACGCAACCCATCAAGTGAAATAATAAGTACAATGCGTAGCACTACAACATTGTATCTGCAATACCATGATGTTGACTTTTCTGTCTCACAGCACGTAGCATTGAGTTCACGATGATACGACGATGTGCTATTTGTCTCAGTGGTGTTTCCGCGGTACCTTGGCCTAGATTTACAGTGGCACAGCACTGTATGGACAAGAATTTTTGTTTTATTTTTTTACATGCATCTTTACCCTCAAACCCCTGAGCAGGGGAAAAGCCGCCCCTTGCGACCCCCAACAAGCTCCTTGCCGACCTCGACCGACGGAATTGGAGAAATTATTACATCAGGTCAAAAACCGAACGGTGCGAATGTATACCGGGTAATACCGAGTTTTAGGTGACGTGGCGCATGGTTATTGGTCTTTGAACGCATTCAGACACCGGATATAATAATTACTCACGGAATTGAAATTTGAGTATTGAAGGACAATTAAAACTGAAACTTATAAGAAAATTGAAATCAATTTTAAAAACTTTGATATGATATGAATATCTCATATGATGTTTGTTGGGTGTTTGGAACCTTGAATCTTTAAATTTGCTCATAGTCTAATCAATCAAATAGCTCATATTATATTTGAGTAAGAGTTAAAATGGCTAAATATTTAATCTAATTATACTGTCGGGAAGAAAGTCCAAAATATTTAATGAACGAAGATATGCATATCATGCATGGCTCCAAGTTGCAGCATGATGACTAGCTAAGGAATGTGAGGACAAAAGCTCAATAACTCTTCGTGGGGCTCTTTCCCAGTCATGAAGGCACTCATCACCATTAATCGGCAACTAAGACTTCGTTTGGGACGGCTTTCTTACTGCTTCTTAAAACAGTTTTTTAGTATAAAAATTTATTTATTATACTACAAAACTGTTTTAAGAAGCAATAAAAAAGCCGTCCCAAACGAAACCTAAATCCATCCACGCATACAGACTTCTGAGTTCATCAGTTGACCCTATCAAACTTTTTTTTTATATTGATGAATATTATTGTAAATTTGCATTAAAATATTGAATGATGGTCATAGAAAGATCATTAAAAATACATAGTTCTGATTTGATTTTTTTTGAGATTAATTAATTACTGTGTTGCTGATTAAGTTCATAGTATTTTTTTATGAGGCTAAGGGTCTATTTTGGGATAGTTTTTTCGTTATTTTGCTTTTCTGATAGTAATTATAATTTTATTTGGCTGTTATTTTCTAGCTATTTTTTCATTACTTTCATTATTTTTTATCTATTTATTTTTTATATTTTTATTTGGATTCTTTATTAATAGCTCTAAAAATTTATTTGTTTTTCACCTCTAAAAATATTTTATGTTACTAAATGAAATATTTTTTTATTAAAATATTTAATTATATTATATTTATAATTTTATATTTGTGAATTTTTAAATAATTTATATTTATAAATTAAATTTAAATATGTAATATAAATTAGCAATAATTTATATTAAATTATATGGTTATTATCTAAGATCAGTGCTATATATAATATTCAAATTATCTTATTTTTAAATCATATTCTAATATAATTTATATTAGAATATCTTAATATAAATCATTTTTTCCAAATTTTTATCCATAATAAATTGTCAAAAACAACCCTCTACCACTCCTATAAAACCCCATGCACACTTCCCCCTTCCCATCCACCTCTCCACCCTCCCAATCAAAGCCATGGCTCCCAATCTCCTCCTCCCTGCCCTTCTCCTCTCTCTCCTAACCCTCTCCTCCATCCTCCCCTCTCTCTCCTGCCCCACCTGCCCCAACCCATCTCCTCCCCCCAAACCCAAACCCAAACCCAAGCCCAAGCCCGAACCCAAACCCTGCCCGCCCATTCCTCTCAACCCATCCCCCCCTCCCCCTTCCAACAAATGCCCAATCGACGCCCTCAAACTCGACGCCTGCGTCGACGTTCTCGGCGGCTTAATCCACATCGGACTCGGCGACAGCGCCGCCGCCTCCTGCTGCCCCCTTATCAGCGGCCTCGCCGATCTCGACGCCGGCCTCTGCCTTTGCACCGCCATCAAAGCTAAGCTTCTTAATATCAATGTGTTTCTTCCCATTGCTTTGGAGGTTCTTCTCGACTGCGGTAAACGCCTGCCCTCCGATTATAAGTGCCCATACTAATTTCAAATTCTGCCATGAGAGGAAACTGTGGGGAGATTTATGCTTATGGCTGAAGATAATATTTCATTCATTTCATTTATACAAATTTGATATTAATGCATGTATTAGAATTTACATTGTCTCATTTATAACTATCTTCAAATGGAATAGCTTGTATAAAATACAATCAATTGTATGAATATAATTTGAATTTTGTATATATATATATATATATATATATATATCATGTAAATTTATTTATATTTTTGATATTTTTTACAAAATATATGAGAAGATATTTGTAATTTAAAGTTAAAAAATGCATGGACTTTATGAATTATAATGTTGTATTTATGAAAAAAAAAATATCTTAGTTGGTCTCAATTATTGATGGTTAAAACTTTATAAAATATATATTTTCTAAAAAAGTTTTGGGCATTTAAATTTTATTAATTGGAACAAAATTTTCATTTCTAATTTTTTGATAAAATTCGTATAATAGACTATATATTTTTTGTTAATACCAAAATAAGTATTTAGTAATTGAATAGAAATGATTTTATTTGTATTATGTAGTAAGTAATATGTTTTTTTATTTGATGAAATATAACTATTTTGAATGTTATCTTATAAAATACAGTGGGATGTTGTAGCTTTCAGTAAAAAAAGGTCTTGTCTATTACTTGGTTTGTTTTAGGAGCTCAATTGGTAATTAAATATAAATTAAAACTTCGTTTTGAATAGCTTTCTTTCAGCTTATTAAAATAGTTTTTTCAGTACAATTTTTTTTAACTAAATATTTTTATACTAAAAGCTGTTTTAGAAAACAGTAAGAAAGCTATTTTAAACAAAGTCTAAAACTCTCAAGAAATTATAAATCATTATTTTGAGATGTTGTAATTTTATGATAAATTTCGATAATTTGATTGAAGATAACCTTGTTATGGAGTTTAAATCCCTTTTTTAATGGAAAATAGACTAATAGTACAATTAATTAAACTAAATTGAAATTTTATTTATTTTATATGTGAAAATAAAATTATTATTTTAAAAGAGAAATTTGATTTTATATATCTCATAGAACTATGCATTTTCTTTCGTTCATTTCTTGGGAATATTTGATTGAAAGATTATTTCTAACTAAAATATTCTGAAGCTGACATTGATTCGAATAGATGTTGACATTTACATGCATTGCAATACAAAGATGGTCAAACCAAAAAAAAATTAAATTATGCTCAAAGTTTCATCAAACTAATCAAATATTAACCAACATTGCTAGAAGTTGTTTGAAAATATTATATCATTGATCAGAATCTTTTCGGACTTTCAAAACATTTTTGAATTTAGAACAATTTTTTTTACCGGATTTTAAATAAATTTTAAATAATGTTCGATCAAGGCCATAACAAATTTCAAGTAACGTTTGCAGTCGATAATCTCATTAACCAGCTTCACTGATGATCTTCAATTAACCGAAGACGAAAATGGAAATATCTCATTGGAACTTTACCTCATAACCATTACTATTGAACAAATTCTCCGAAAAAGAAAAGGTCACTTTGAGCATTACTTCGAATTTTATGAGTATTTTGATTTGAACATATTTCCTCAACAAATTAAAAAAATGATATATTTCTTTAATTTAGAGTATTAAGAGGCATATAAAGTCAAATACCCCCTTTATAATCATTCTAAAAATTAAAATTCATCTTAATTTTTAGTTAGAATCTATCAAATAATAAAAATATAATAAATTTACCATTTTGAAAACGTGCTTTATGTTTGGTAGAAACCTAAACAACTTTTTTTCTTTGAAAAATGTCGGTTGCGTACTTTCATAGGTTCGATGCTGTAAAGTGTACGTGCTTTGGCTGTTTATGAGAAAATATGGCCTTCTATTTTGAGTATGGATTTGCGATCTTCTGTCACTTTAGGGTATGCAAATAATTTGGCTAGAGATTTAGGCATTGTTTGGAACTTCTTTTTTATAATTTTTTAAAGCATTTTTTGAATTTAAAATTTTGAATTTTTAAATAAAAAAGTTGTTTTAAGAATCAATAAAAAAACCGTCCCAAACGAACCCT